TGTCAATTCACTCAAACTGGTGAGACACAGTGCAACTTGGTAGAAAAAACTCTACCAGTGCGAAAGGATTAGACAAACATAATATTTGCCAATACTCACTGTCTAATCAATTGTAAATTGTCTGATGATAAGGAATTTTCATTCAGCCATTGTTCTTTAACCACACTAGAATGAATTCCTAAGTTTTATGTGGATCTTTTTAGTTTCCTTGCTATTGAATATTTGGAAATTTCAATACTTAAATGTAATGGTATACCATTTAGTTAGGAAGAATTCATGTATCAATTTGAAATGGATTGAATTATCCGGTTGTTGATATATTGGTTGGCATATGTGCATCTTGTGCAAGTTGCCTCGATGTAGCCAATTATGACAAAGGTTAGTATAGCATAAATGAAATATAGCCTTCAGTAGAATCCAAGACGCGCTTTTCATTCGATTTTGGGCTCGTCAACTGGATATATCTACATTCCAGACTCGATGCTCGACTGGAACTTAGTATCGTCCGATTCAAATACCATCCTATTATCTACTTAGCTACTGAGTCCAGGTAGTCATTCACTTATGGAATAGGTATGAGTTTTAATCCATATTAAAGTGGATTAGATTATCTAATTTCTGATATTTTGACTGAATTTTTTATGATTAAAACTATCTATTTAATACAGAATAAAGTTTAATAAAAAACGAAATAGTTCAAAGCTTTAAACCGGCTCTTGTCGTCTGAAGTCTCATCAAAAATAATGTTAATGACGGTAACTACAACAAAAAGAATCGTTTAAATTTAGTAAACCTTGTCTCCTAAGCTTATAAATATTTTTTTGTAGTTCATTAACCAAGTAAATATCATACTTCACATCATGAATTAATTTTAGTGAAATAACCATTAAAAACTAAGAAACACCGGACATTTGTTTAGTCATAAGTCAAGAATCAAGAACAGTGACCAGCTAACAACTCAGAACTTGATAGCGTCACAGCGAGCGCTTAACCTCCAGACCACTGAGCTGGCCTCCATTGGTTAACATTTGTTAATTATAATTAATTTGTGATATTACTCAATCATCGTTCGATAACAACGTCATATCAGATATCACACATTCACTGGTTACTGATTCTCACGAAAACGCTCAAATTTGCCTCTCGAAGTTAGGCACTAATGAACACATGGTTAATATTAATGTAAGGGGTATGTGACGTTATGATATAAGATGACATATACATAAATTCTGGCCCTATGGTTTTACTATCTTGCTTTTAAAGATCGAATAGAAAAAAGAGGGAGAATAGTCACAGTGTACTAGTATAAACCCACTTTTTATTAATGAGAAAAATATAAAATAATTACAGAATATTATTAAGATTCATATATTATTTCACTTGCTATTGTTTACTTAAAACTTCCCATTGATGGTTAGAACTGCAATTGTTCAGTCTCTTATTGGCATGTGTAGATCGCTTCGATACTGCCTTAATTCACAAGCATTCTATGCAGAGATGGGTAATGGCTAACGGTGGGATCCAGGAGTGAATATCAACTCTGAGATACAGGTATATCTATCTGACAAGTCCAAAATGGCATGAAACTCGCGTCTTCTATTCCACTGCTAGCCATTATCCATCTTTGCATATAAATATTATTATTTTTGTCAAAAATATCCTCTATATATTATAGTTAATGAATAGAGATAAAAGTATTACATGAAAAAGATCTTAAATATAACTTTGTGCTGATTATGTCTTTCAGAAGAACAATGAAAGCTCCACGATCAAACCATCCAGCTCAGAGAATATAACCCCATCAAAATCATTCACCTGAGCTATAAATCTCCACAATCTTAAATATAATTGAACATTATTTAAATAAATCAATGAAACAGTTAATAAAATCAACATCGTGTTATATTTTATTTCAATAGTTGAGATCATGAGTCAATTGAATCTAGACCACCATGGATAACCTAGAAGCATTGAACGGCCGTTCCGTTCTAGTATGGTTTTCCTCAACTGTGCATGTCCACGATCATTCACGTGGAACTCCAACCCACAGCATTCCATCTCGCGCGTATCAACATTTATACTCTGCACTATTGAGCCTGTCGGCATCCAATGGTGTTAATTTCTAACTTCAACCAATCCACCATTAAAAACCTAGAGACAGAAGGTCCTGTGTTTGGGTCCCACATGAGGGATCGTGGATGCTCAATGCTGATAAGTTTTGTACTAGGATGAAACGGCTATCTAATGCTTCCAGGATTTCAATGGTGATTTAACATTGATTGATTCATGATATCAGTCGAAATTCAACAATCTGCACAACCCTATAGTGATAATTCATGTTTTTCTAAAATCTAAAGTTTACTATAAGGACCTAAAACCGTTCTATTTAAAGGTGTACAGCTTAAAATAAAATAACTTTTAGTTAATAAAAAATTTTTACCATTTAACACTCAAATCTCTTCATATAAATTATCTTACGGACTTTCTTCACTCTGTCCTTAGTATTTTTTAATAACTTTGTAGAACTCCACAAATTGCTATTCAACACCTATCAGTTTAGATTAGATAAAATCAATTTATAATTCAACCTAAAAGTAACCATTATATAAACAAAAGATCAATTATTAGAAGAGGTTTTGTGGAGATTTTTTAGAAATTTCAATAGTTGAAATCATGAGTCAATTGAAGCTAGAATACCATGGGAAACCTGGAAACACTGGACGGCCGTTTCTTCCTATTGTGGGACTCCCCAACAATGTCCATCCACGATCCCGCCCCCCCCCGTGAGATTCGAACCCAGGACCTATCATTGTGGATGCCCACTGCTGAAGAGTCCCATACTAGGACGAAACGACCGTCCAGTGCTTCCAGGTTTTCCATGCTGGTCTAGCTTCAATTGACTCATGATTTCAACTATTGAAAAGATGAATTCTCAAAAACAGTCAATAAAATATAAACCCACATTATTATGTATTGTACATTTGTTACTCTGATATAAATGCGAACTATTGATGAACCAATATGAAATATTCATATTAACTAGGACAATGTATTGTAGAGTAATTAGAGGCGGGAATTTATTAAGAAACTATGAATAGGGCAAAATGTGATTGGATATTTCAAATAGATAATCAAATAGATTATTTAAAACCTAATGAATTCAATGTAAGAAAATTATGATTCTTAATATATCAAAGATTCAATATATTGAAATGTAACAGTAAATGCTTACAGCTAACACTGAAATTATTTACAGACAATAGTCAGCATTTGTGTTAGCTTCGTTAAAACTATTGATTATTTGACAATATACCTGAAAAATATCATACATATATTAACGATATTCCTTTATGTTTGATACTTACCATGTTAATCGGAATAGTGATATTCAAAATGATTAACTTTTCGTTATCACTTTCTGTATTCAACGACATTAAGATTGAAGACATTGACTATAAGGCATAAGGTTGTTTGAATATACCTTAAATTAGCTTTTTTTTATCTATTTTGATAGAGCTATGCCTTGAAATGAATATATATAATCAGATTGTTTGAAATAGATAACGCAAATACATTGCTTTGTTTGGATCAAGTTCGTCTTCTTATTTCTCTAACGGTATATACTTTGATTTAAAGAGTATGTTTATGATGTACTAAATAAGCTTTGAATCTGCTATCATTCATATTCATTTTTGGTTTCTCACCGAGATTAAACCTAGATTCTCTAGGTTAAGTGGCAAGCAAGTTGATGTTGACCAAATAGATCAGCATATAGAATATGACACAGAATACCATACTTACTGTTAACAACAATGTTATACATTAAAATTATGGTTTAAAATTTGATCAATAATTTTATGTCATTCCATTTTATTTTGTTTTATTGTATCTTCACCACATGAAATGTATCTATCTTGTGATTACTGTTTTGTATACATGTGAAATTTGAACAGATTCAAAGTCAATTATCGGTTCCTTTGATTGAAATAAATCTTCAAATGTAGTATACATATATACTTTAATTATAATGGGTAAGATATAGAGAAATGATACAATTTCGGATACTTTGAAAACAGATTACCATGACAGTATATATATATATATATATATATATATATATATATATATATATATATATATATATATATATATATATATATATATATATATATATATATATATATATATATATATATATATATATATATATATCATATTGTTAGGTTCTACTGTCATTTTGCGTATATATGTCTTCGTAACAATTGTTACGTATACTAATTTACAAACGATGATATGAACATCCAGTATGTGTATAGGTAATTTGATTCTGAGTAGAAAAACCTTATTTCTTTAATTTTATTTTCGATATGTGAACACATGTTTTAGAATCAAATTACAATTTTTACTAATCGGATTTACTGAATTAATAATAATAGTAGTAAATAGTAGTTAATTGGGATCATTTGTCATAAAGATGATGATAATGATTAATACAGTGTTACTGTTATCAGTGATGATAGTGATAATGATGACAATGACAAAGGAATTGATAATTGAATTTACACAACCATTATTCTTTTTACAATATTTAAACAGATGACAGTAATCAGTGACTACGTATCTCAATTTACATTTTGCTAATAGTTGTTACACTTTGAAGTAACAGATTACAAGTTATATATGTGTTATAGTTTCATATATACGCGAAAAAATGTTTAATAGATTACTTAATGTATTAGAGGAACTACTCAATCACGATACTTGTGATTAATTTGACCTTATTTGTAATAGTCAATACTAAAGCTTATATATAAATACATATGATGATATATAACATCATTTTTCTTCTTCTAATTTGTATAATAAGGTAAATCGGTGCCAGAGTGTTTATCTTCAAATGATATACTATTACTGTTACATTCATTACAAATTACAATCTGAATATATTTTACAATGGATAAATCAAAAAAGAATCTGTTCAATTATCCTTTGTGACCATTATGAATGAGCAGAGTTTTAGTCGCTACCATCATTCAACTAATTTAGATGAATGTCAAGAGAATAATAACGATGTTGATAATGCTCGTCCATTTGATAATGACTTATCTTTAGAATATCAGTCAAATAACAGTACACCATCATCATCATCATCATCATCATCATCATCATCATCATCATCATCATCATCATCATCATCATCATCATCATCATGTTATGTTAATTATGAACTAAAAAGTAAGAATTATGATTCTGATGAAATTCTTGATTTGAGAATGCATAAAAATAAAATCTTTGACACTTGGCCATCAACAACAATATCGTCATCTTCGTCCTTTAACTCGTTATTTTCCACAAATATAAACCATGATAATCATCCGTGTAAAATATCAAATTCAGAATTATTAAATAATCTAATTGAAATGAATAAACAACAACACATTGATGCTTTATTCAATCATCATTTAACTTCATCATTATCTTCATTAACGAGTACTACTACCAATACTACTACTACTACCACCACCAATACTACTACTAAGTTGAATACATTTTCAACTGCTTTAACATCATCAGTAGTATATGAAAAATTAACACAAACAATAACCACTTCCAATATTAGTCCTATAAATAATTTAATAGATTTTACCAATACACTATCAAAAACTATTCATACATTATCTAAATATCATTATTCTAAATTAAATGATCATCAACCAAAATCATTATCAAATATTAAACATTCAATTAATCATGAATTTCAATTGGATAAAATAAATTCTCTTTCAAATTTCCCATATTATCTTTATCGATTTTTTTCCACATCAAATATCATTCCTACTATTCAACAATTACAACAACAATCACACCAGAATCAGCAGCAACACAATCAAGAACGACAATCCTATAATTCTATTAATTCATCTTCAATAGATCCTTTACAAGATAATACAAATATTTCATATTCATTATTAAAACCATGTATAAAATTTTCTAATATGAATTCAATCAATCAACAATATACAACATCATTTGAATTATCAATTAATTTTATAAATTGGTATCATCAATTTATGCAAAATTTACATCAATTATTATTAAAACAACAATTCAAACAACAACAGAAACATGATCATCATCCTCAACAACAGCAAGATCATCGACAACAACAACAACAACGACAAATTGATCATCAACAAAATGATCAAAATTTAAAATGGATTAAAAAGGAGACAAATGAATTCAATAAAGAATATCATATTAGTTTAGATTCATTTGATTTACATTTAGATAAAGAGAAATATTATCAAAGAATAAATAATTCAACAGATCATTTAAAAGTCAATAAATATGATACATCAAATGATGAAAATTTTTCTAATTTTCAATCAAATCAAGGTGATGATTGTAATATACATATTTATATATCAGAAGGGTTTTTGTGGATATTATAGCAATTTCACTGGTTGAAATCATGAGTCAATTGAAACTAGACCACCATGAAAAACCTGGAGGCATTGAATAGCCATTTCTTCTTATTATGGGACTCCTCAGCATCCAAGATCCTATGTTACGAGATTTGAACGCAGAACCTAACTGTATCACACGCAAGCACTTAACCACTAGACCACTGAGCCGGCAGTGGAGTTCAACCGTGTCTGTTGTAAGATAGTAACTCACTGAAGACAATGGTCCATGTGTGGCTCAATTTTGTGGATTGATTGAACTTAAACATTAACACCGTTGGATGCAGACTCGGTGGCCTAGTGATTAAACGTTAGCACACGAGACTGATAGGTTCTGGATTCGAACCTCGCGAGGTGGTATCGTGGATGTGCACTGCTGAGGAGTCCCACAATAGGTCGAAACCGCCATCCAGTGCCTCCGGGTTTTTAATGGTGGTCCACATTCAATTGACTCACAATCTCAACCACTGAAATATATATATATATATTCCCCTTATATTAAATGATTGGAAATGATCATTCTAAACTTTTTTATCTAGATTTCATACTAGTTGGTATATTCTTGCTTACTAACTTTGCAATATTTTAAGAGAAATAATACTTCCTATGAGAGTTAAAATTATGTAACAAAGTTTTCAAGTCTTAATACTAAAGTATTAAACAAACATGAGTGAGACTACAGTTTATAGACGACCTTTGAGCGGCGTAAAATAACCTTGATCATGTTCACCTACTTATTAGGGCTAAATAATTGTTATAAACCAGTGTGAGGAATTAATATTATGATTTTCAGTTGATGGTTAGTATTAGGAATTAGATTTAGGGTTTTCATCACGAACTGACGTCAGCTATAATGCCAGAAATTTATTTAGCCAAATAGATGAAAGGCTTTCACGTTAAAATCCGAGATCTATTGTCTTATACCTGATTGATTCGTCCACAAATTATAGTCTCGTCGTTTTATTTGTTATAGCCGCTCAATTATCACGTTTTATAAAAAACTCCCTGTGAACCGATCGTACGTTAGCATTAAGCACTGAAGTTGGCGCCATAACCTTGAAATCTCTAAAACGCTTGTGATTGGCTCGTCCATAAATTAGAGTCTCACCATTCAACCAATTGACCAGAAACCCCTTGGTTCGAATATTATTGTTTAGAATAAATCTCGATCTAGTGCAAATGTTGATTAATATTGCTGATCTTAAACCTACTCCTATTTTTAATTTGTAGTAACACATAAGTCACAGCTTTCTCTACGGTAAGAAAATGATTCCAGAAAGATGAATAGAAAGTCAGTTAATTTAAAAGGAAATAATCTATTATATTAATTCAGTGTTTTTAATTTACATAGATATTCACTGATCTCTCGTTTATATGATCAATGAAATTTTATATGCTATTTCTCATAACTCTGAACCATAGTATATCTCAGTCAGAATACTGTAAAATCTAACCGAATTTAAAGTTTATCAGAATTAATAACTGACAAATTTAATGGTTTAATTATTTAAAAAAATAACATGAAGAAGCCTACTATTATCAACAGAATCAACCTAACCCCTCTTCCCCCCAAAGAAGAAGGAGATTAAAGTAGTTAATATTAGTAAAATTCATTTTAAGATAATACAACGGCTGAAATAATTTTATATTCTAAGAACAAAAAAGTTTAGAATTTAAGTGTAATCATGAACCTTTAACAGTTTTTTTTTATTAATTTACAATTGATTGATCACTCGGTGGTGATCAATGTCATGTATGTCAGGCCCTTTTTAGTGCAGATCGAATCTTATTGATCACGTTGCAATGTAGCTACTAGTCTAGGTGATTCAACGTTACGTGCACTATGTTGAGATAAGCTGGTAGTTGAAGGTAGTCAACAGGAAACCCTGGACCTAGGTTTCGTACTACTTGGCACTCGTTAGGAAGGTGTACATGTATTCTTGAAAGAACTTATGCTCCTTGACGAATTCGATTGCGTGTCACCCAACTTCACAGTCAGAGACGTTACTACTGGGCTATCCGCGCCACGACTGACCTCCTGTAGGATTGAGATGTATTTACAATTGATTGATCACTCAGTGGTGATCAATGTAATGTATTTCAGGTCGTTCTTAGTACAGATCGAATCCTATCGACTAAGTTTTTTATTAATGATAAACAACCAAAGTGTACTTATCAGAAAGTTTATCTACATATTAGAAATGAATAACAGTGTGTGTACTTTTTTTCCTTCACACCGTCTGTGATCTAACTTTACTATGTTCGAAGTTATCTGAATTTCTTAAAAATGATAGGAATGTCAAGTTATAAATTAATGATAAATAGAGGCTTTTATCAATATTCTAAATAAAGTCTCCTTTACAGTATGAAGTAATGAATCAAATAGAAACAAATATCGATTGGTACCTTGTTTTAATTAATTGTTAACTAATAAATAATAAGTTGTTTTTCAAATTGATGAGATCCTGTAAGCTATTGATTTAACCATAAAATAAAACGTTTGAAGCCTAAGATAACATAAAGCTCACCTAATAGTCTATATACTTGCTGTTATATCAATTTCATTTATTCATAAACATTTAAAAGTAACAGCCATAATACCCTCCGTCGACTTGTTCACAAAATAAATAAATATTAATCTGGAGGTTTCTTAGTCTTAGTCAATTAAATCTTGTTTATAATCAGAAAGGGGTTTTGTGGATATGATAGTGATTTTAATGGTTGAGATCATGAGTCAATTGAAGCTAGACCACCATGGAAAACCTGGAAGCACTGGACGACCGTTTCGTCCTATTATGAGACCTTTCAACAGTGCGCAACAATGATCCCGCCTAGCGACACTCGAACCCAGGAACTATAAGTCTCTCTTGTCAACGGTTAACCTCTACACCACTAACGGTGTTAATGTCTAACTTCAACTAGTCCATGAAATTGAGCGACACATGCACTATTGTCTTCAGTGAATTACTATCTCACAACAGACCCGGAAGCACTGTGCTTCCAGGTTCCCTATGATGGTCTAGCTTCGATTGGCTCATGATTTCAACTATTGAACTTACTATAATATTCACAAAAACCCCTTCTGATAATAATCAACATATGCTTAGAAGTGACTGGCCCCAAGAGGTATTTCCTGGAGTTCTAGTGAAAAGTAGTGACCGGTGGAGTTCAACTGGCTCCATTGTAAGTTAATAACTCTCTGAAGACAATGTTGGATGTGTCGCTCAATTTGGTGGATTAGTTAAGGTTAGACACGAACACCATTGAATACCGACAAGCTCAGTGGTGTAGAGGGTAAGTGTTTTAATACGCGGGAGACCGAATGCTGTGGATTGGAGTTCCACATGACGGATCATGAAAATGCACTGTTGAGGAGTCCCAAAATAAGACTCAAACAGTCATTTAGTGCTTCCAGGTTTCTCATAGTGATCTAGTTTCAATCGACACATTTGTTTTTGTTTTGTTTTATTTATTTTAGATGAATTACCTATTGATTCATGTTCACAAAAATGGATCATTTATCAAAATGAATCAAATCTTTTATCTGGACAATCAACATTTACTAAGTCAATAAATGATAAAGTCAATACAAAATTATTCAATAAATCTAAATTATCTTATTCTATTAATTCATCATTATCACCATCATCATCATCATCATCTAATCCAATTCATTATTATCGTCATATTTATCATTATCATCATAATCAACAATTAATTAATAATCGTATTAAATATAAATTACAATTAAATAATAATAATAATAATAATAATCATAATATAAAAATCAATAAAACTTCTAATCTATTATATCGTTATCAATGTCCACATTGTAATAAAGAATTTCCACGTTCAGCTAATTTAAATCGTCATTTACGTACACATACTGGTGAAAAACCATATCATTGTGAATATTGTCAAAGAGGTTTTAGTATATCATCTAATATGCAACGTCATATAAGAAATATACATCAACGTGAACGTCCATTTATATGTACAATATGTAAAAGAGCATTTGCTCAAAGAACTAATTTAGATAGACATAAACGTAATCATTGGTTACATAATTCATAAAATTTATAATAAAATGTATATTTATTTATTTATTTATTTATTCAATTCGAATCAACATTATTTTCTTGATTATTTTGTTTGTTTGTTTGTTTGTTTATTCGTCACTTTTGATTGTTGAACTTTGTAAGATGATTTCATGTTCATATTGTTCATGATATTTTCTTCTTTTTTTTAAAAAAATAAACAGTAACAAAGAATGTTGATCTATTTACTTTTGAGATGGTGAAGAAGATTTGTAGCTCAGGTGGATGATTTTGATGGAGCTTTGTTCTCTGAACTGGATGATTTGATCGTGGAGCTTTCATCGTTCTTCTGAATAATATCATCAGCACAAACTTCAGACAGAAGTGAAGTGTTCGAATTTCTCCATATGCGTTTCACAGTTTGTTCTGTGCACCTCGATGTTGATTGGTTCTTACTGACCTTAAATTTGTCATTGTTTACTTCTTCGTTTTGGTTGTGTCTCCTATTGGTTTGATTTTTGTTCCTATATTTGTGCATGATTTTCCTGATTGATTGATAAATTGGATTGATTTCAATATGGTTGTTGATTGCTGATTGACCTAAGTGCTAGGTTTCTAAAAATTCTCTGATGTTTTTGGAATTTCCTCTGTCCAAGATTTCCACATTTTTCCAATCGAATGAGTGTCCGCAGTCGTCCACGTGTATTGAAATAAGTGAGGAAATATCATAGCGTTTAACTGCTAATTGATATTCATGTAGGCGAAGGTGAAGAGAGTGTCCGCTTTTTCCAATGTAGTGTTTTTCACAGTTGGCACAATTTATTTTGTAGATGATGTTATATTTGTTTTTGGAGGGGTACAGAACAAGCTGTGAAACGCATATGGAGAAATTCGAACACTTCACTCCTGTCTGAAGTTTGTGCTGATGATGTCGTTCAGAAGAACGATGAAAGCTTCACGACCAAACCATCCAGCTCGGAGAACAAAACTCCATCAAAATCTATTTACTTTTATTAACAATTTTAATGATTGAATAGATATTTGAGGTTATTCAACAGGAAATCTATATTGTATTCTGCACAGTTTGTTCACTTAATGAATAAATGAAGCGTATTCAATCATAGATAGTGGCTAGCAGTAGAATCCAGTTTGGTACGTGTTTCGTCCTATTCGGGACTCTTCAGCTCGAAATATATGCATCTCAGAGTTGATGTCCATTCTAGGAGTTGAACCCAGTATCGTTCGCTTCAAACGCTATCGCGTTATGTACTCAGCTACTGAGTCTTGATAGTGGGGTGGTGAATTTAAATTCACTTGGTATTGTTTGCTTGAATCTTCCCATTAAGGTTTAAGACTGCAAATGATCATTCTGTTATTAACATATGTGCATGCTGTGCGTATTGCCTCGATATTACCTTAATTCACAAGCTTTATAAGCAAAAATAACAGACTGATCAATTGCAGTTTTAAACCTTAATGGGAAGGTTCAAGGAAATAATACCAAGTGAATGTATTCAATCATTTCTGAAATAATTTCCCTTTCAGTTTACGTCATTATCTTCATGATAATTTTTTTATCTGATCAGTCTCATTGAGTTATATCTAATTTACTTATGGTAGACTTATATTTCATATGAACAGTTGTAAACTGAAAACATTGGAAATTGTTGTATTTAGCTAAATATAAAATATTTATACAACAAACTGTGGAGTTTCGGGATTACGGTAGTATAAAAATATTTCATACACATAGTTCCCTTTATCATTTTGAAAAGAGCAAGAACAAAGATTCTAGCAGAATAGCATGAATTCATTTTTTATTTCGTAGGTTCTCGTCAGCTGCTTACAACCTGTGATATTCAAATATCATAATTGCATAATGGATTTAAATTGCTTACAGAATATTGTAAATATATACCTAATGTGAAAGAATATTCTACAACATTAATTGTGACAACAGTTCAAAAGTGGATTAGAAGCAATTGATTACATAATGAATAAACATTGATAGGAATATAGTGAGTAGAGTTCAGTCGAAAGATTGTTAATTTTTTTTAAAGATAGTTGAAAAAATAAATTAGAATCAATGATGTAATAAATGCAACAGAAAAAAGAGGAAAAAAAGAAAAAAAATTTTAAGGTTCAGTGAAGGAATATTTGTTACCAGGGTAAGGAAAGATTAACCACCGTCTCTTTTTTAATACATAGGTCAGGTTTTTGTCGCCTGATGGCAATGGCTTCAGCAAACTTCAGAAGACTGGAGTTTGGCTGCTTACTAATCACTCTAATCACTATATTCCTATCAATGTTTATTCATTATGTAATCAATTGTTTCTAACCCATTTTTTGAACTGTTGTCACAATTAATGTTGTAGAATATTCTTTCACATTAGGTATATATTTACAATATTCTGTAAGCAATTTAAATCCATTATGCAATTATGATTTTTAAAAATCACAGGTTGTAAGCAGCTGACGAGAACCAACGAAATAAAAAATGAATTCATGCTATTCTGCTAGAATCTTTGTTCTTGCTCTTTTCAGTATAAAAATAGTTTAGAAAATTACTGTTAATTTCCTAAGCACTCTGAAGGTAAACCTTAAAATAGCTGTCTTAGTTAATATAAAACAATGTCAACGTGAAAAATGTTATGCAAATAACACAATTACTGTATATTGAAACAACAGAATCCGTAATAACATCACAAGTGATTAAACAATGAACAGCGAAATATTCAATGTATAATAGCAGTACTCAAAAATCTTGCCATTAAAAGATCTGAAGTTGAAAATCGGTTATTTTTCAGCATATAACTTCAGCGTAAATAAGTAATATTATGTAGAATTGTTTATATAAAAAGAAATGACCTTTTGATGTTTATATTTCAAGTTGTACTCAGTCCTGAAATAAACCTGTTGTTAGTTATTTGAAAATTCAATTATTTCTGAGTATTTTTTTATCGAAATCATGAATCGATGAATGTTAGATTACCATTGAAAACTTGGAATCATTAGGTGATTGTTTCGTTCTAGTATGGGACTTCTCAACAATGCGCATCCACAATCCCATACGTGGGACTCGAATACAGGACTTTCGGTCTCCAGCTTTGCAATGGTGGTCTGACATTAATCCATTCATGAAATCAACCAAAATTCAACAATATCCACAACTCTATACTGATAATTATCATGTATTCATTAGTGAATAGTTTCAACATCAATTTCATGCAGCTCTAGTAAGAAGTTGTGACCAATCGAGTTCAACCGTGTCAGTTGTGAAGCAGTTATTCACTGAAGACGATGGTGGATAGTGCCTCGATTTCATGGATTAGTTGAAGTTAAACGTCAACACCGTTGAATGCCGATAGGCTTAGTAATATAGAAGTCAAACGTTAACATAAGAGACTCAAGATCCTGGGTTCGAATCCCACATGGAGGATCATAGATATGCACAGTTGAGGAGTTCCATATTTAAAAAAAACAGCAATCCAGTCGAAATTATAAAATTTATTCTAGAAGTATACTTTATGAAACTTAAGAATTTTGAAATAAAAGTATCCAATTAATAATCAAATGAATAATCTTGAATTAAACGTTAAAGTATATTGCATCCTCTTTGATTTATGAATATTTAAACTGAAGAATATTTTAATGAAATTAAGAATATCGATAACCTATGATGAGATTTAAGCACATTTTTGTGTAGGGTGTCTTAAAGTTCATTATATAATATAAATCGACATATATAAACTTCATTTCATATGTTTCTTTCTAGGAACTAATTCTTACTTCTTGTTTTATATCCTTATATGTCATCTTTCTTTTATATATAGATATTACTACCAATGGAGGAACTACTTCTATGAATTTAGTGTTGATTTTGATGTAATAATGAGGTATGGCAACTTGGACCGATGTATATATGTGCCTAATCCTACAATGTAGCTAACTGACTGATATATATATATATATATATATATATATATATATATATATATATATATATATATATATATATATATATATATATATAAACTAAATAAGAAGTTTCTTTCTTTCTTTCCAACGTTTAAAGAATTAGGTAACATAAACTTAATCTACAAAACTATCCTTATTGTTATTCATTTTCATTAAATTGTGGAAATTCGCTTAATCAATGAAGTTATATATGTTGAATGAAAACAAGTTAATGCTTTGACATTACGTTAGGAATTTGAAGGTATCTGGTGTTACAATTAGATATTAATTAAGAACCAATTTGATGTTCATTATCAATTCAGTATTACATGCTGACAATAATTGACTGGATTTATAAATGAACTATTCAGATATATTCTGACTATAAACAGTAGGTTTATGTAGACTAAATATAGCCTATTAAAAACATTAAACTCACTTTAAGTGACTTAAATTTACTTAATATTGTTTTACTTGTATCTTCCCATTGTAATTTAGGACTGCAATTGATCAATTTCATGTTGGCGTATGTGCATCCTGTATGGATTGCCTCGATATAGTCTTAAATCACACGCTTTTTAAGCAAAGATAGATAATGACTAGCAGTAAATAGCAAGCAGACCACTGTTCTAAATGTAACAATAGATCTAGATAAGATTACGAAACATATAATAATGAAACTCTGAATAAAGATGGAAATACGTTTTCTACGAAGACACTCATGGAGAAAATATAGTTGTTCTCGAGTGGAGAACACACTTTTTCTACGTCTAATGATAACCAGAAACATTTCTATCACATCTAAATCATTAACAATAAGGATTTCAATGATGTTGAAATAACCAGTAGATTAAGTAACATAATATATATCTTCCCTTGTCATTTGATAGAGTTATGTTGTGTTTTTTTAACTATGTGTCAACGTATAATATTAAAAGCTTTGAATAAATGTACTTCAGGCATAATGATATGATCAGTCTATATTCTCCTATCATTATATTATGCTAGTAGTTGGATTAAGTATAAATCATAGATATCAGTAATCATTGTTAATGGTTCTATATATTATACTCTAAGGGACACTCTGAAGATAATAAATAATGGTATAAATTCGTTATTGTTTGATTATAAGAATGATTGTAGAAAAAGTGAAACATGATTACTTTTATGAAGTATCATAAAGGATTTGGTCTACTTTGTGCTCAACTAATTTACTTAAATGTGTTGTAACATGTATGGAAGTAACTAAAGAGTTAAACGACGCAGTATTTCTAAACTAGGGATGAGCACAAATTAAATTGTTAGTTCTATAAATAGAAGTATATATCTTTTTCTAAAAGAAAAAAAAAGTAACC